TTTGGCAATTGCACCCCGGTAAAAAAAGGGGTTCGTAGAAAAAATAAATTTCGTAGTGCCTTTTCGACACTACGGGGGGTGTGGGGGTGCGGGGGTGAGAAATTTTTGAGAGCCGAAAAAAGCGACCGCCGCCGCCGCCGATGTCTCGCGCGGGCGGGATTCGAACCGCGAACCTTCGGAGATAAACGCCGCCGCCGACGCGCGCTGTTCCCCTAGCGTAACTGGGCCGGCACGTTATCGCGTCGTCGTCGTGTATGCGCGCTGGTCGATATAATTAAATAAGTGTGCACCGATAAAATTGATGATTTATTTAAGACATTTACATTGATAAGTTTGAATAGAAAACAAATTAATATCTAAAAAGGTTGTCGAGGTGAATGCAATTAAATAAATGTGCACCGATAAAATTGATGATTTATTTAAAACATTTACATTGATAAGTTTGAATAGAAAACAAAATAATATCTAAAAAGGTTGTCGAGGTGAATACAATTAAATAAATGTGCACCGATAAAATTGATGATTTATTGAAAACATTTACAAAGTATTGACATCCGATATAAATTTGCTAAACACCACAACGTATTTCTTCTTCTTCTTCTTCTATAGGGTATGTTCTAAATCCTTGTTTTTTTGGCCGCTGGTGGTGACGACGACGACGACGACGACGACGATGATGGAATAACTTCGTCGCAATATAAACTTATATTGTTCGAACGATTTGTTGATTGCGAACAATATTTTATATTACATATTGGATGATTTTTAATGGATTCTTCACAAAAGCAAAAAGATTTGTTACAGCTATTACAGTACTTGGTACCGTTATAGTAGTAGACTTTGGAGTTTTCCGAAACATCTTGTTTCACTTTTTTTTCGGTTGTTGTTGTTACGTAATGATCACTATTCATGGCTGCTGCTGCTTCGTACTTGACTAAACACTTTAACGCAAATTTTCAGTGACTCGACGTTAGAATGCTGTGAAAAAAATTGTATTAAATTATGACTACAGAAAACAAATAGGTTCTTACCTTTTAATAATGTCTTATTTAAAATTGTTGAGTTTTTGCTGCTTATGAAATTGAATTAATTAAAACAAAAATGATAAAACAAGTGAGTTTTTGCTGCTTATGAAATTGCATTAATTAAAACAAGTGAATATTTTTTTAACATAAAATTTAATTTGTTTTATATCCCCAAGGCAATGTATCAGTAAATATATAATTAACCACTCTCTTATCATCGAACGGTGTTAAAACAATTTTCCTTTGGTTTACCGTAAAAACTTCATGGTTTTTACTACGAAACAGATGTTCGTTGGTATACATTTGAGTTTTATCAAACAGACAATTATAATAGTCTTCAAAAGTGATTGTTTTTAATGACGAACCGGTAATACCTTTGGCTTTTTTAATAGTTTCGACTTCTTTTTTGTTAGAAGATTTTTCTCGTTCTACATTTGAATAATATAATTTGATCGCGTACATTTTAGATTTTAATCCGATAAATTCGTGCATAATTCTACCGTTGTTTTCGTCTTTCATCAATCCCAAAACTTTTTTATTAGCCAAAGGAATATTATAAATGTTATCGGGAGGATAATCATAAGTGTCAAATTTATGAATATCTTCTCGAATACATTTATAAATATCGTCAACGTAAAAATTATATATTAACGAATCTGTATCTGAATACAAGAGTTTTACATCCTTGCCGAATTTTGGTATAATATAATGATAATGAAAATCGTATAAAAATGTTTTTGAAATTTCTAAAATACTAAAACCAGCGTAAATGGGTTTATTAAATTTAATATTCAATCTCTTCATTTCAATGATAACCATGTCATTGTCGAAAATTGTTAAGCTATGAAAATTTGCTTTTGAAATATAACTCTTTGCACCGTATCGTCCCGACCAACTTGTTACCAGTTTAACGTCTTTATATTTCCGAACGTTTTCCATAGTCTTGCCGAAAACGGCATTATTCATTAATTTAAAAAAATTTTTTTCTAATTAGTTTTTGCTTTGCTGCCTCAAGTGTGTGTTTAGGTCAATGTAGGTTTTCAACCACGGAGATTGGTTAAATTGTAATATTTTATGAATTTTTGTAACATGTAAACCTAACTGAAGAGCCTGTTTGAGATTTTTATAATGTATTACGTAGTTTTTTTTATCAAACAATGTTGTCAATAATTTCGGCTGTTTTGTTTGACCCGTTGGTGGAATCAAACGTTCCGGACATAGAGGTAGATCTTTGTGGATATCGTGAAGTATTGTAGGATATTCTATATCTACTTCAAGAAGATACCCAACGTCAGAATCGTCCGACGTGTTTATGATAGAATAAAATGCGTTATTATCGATCCATTGGAACCCACCCGTCGGTAGTGGTAGTCTCATTGCCGTTCCATATAGGTTATTTACATCGAAATACATTAAATATGATGAAGGAATGTCTGGATTATAATCGTTTTCCATGTATTTATTGTTAGCCTTACCGTATCGGTTACTGCATTGTGAAATTCCACCGCGTATTCCTTTTTCGATCATCATTAATTGATCGATGTCCGTAATTAATTCTAGTTGAACATTTGAAATGAGAAGACATGCATCGTATGCCAGACCCGGTGCCGTGTAATATTTCAAACATTCCAAGCCATACGTTTTTTGACATACATTTCTGAAATTTTCGAAAACGTCCGTCAATAATAGTACGTCTGTTTTCAAATACAATTCCATATATTCGCGTAAATTTTGAATTTTGAATGTTGTCCAAATATTTTTGGCATGCTCGTAATCTTTTATCGTAATACCGGATTTTCTAAGTTTACTATAGAAATTTTCAATCGGGGGCAATTCGACGTCGTTCAATTTTTCCCAATCATCTAGATATTCATACGGAAAGACTCCCTTTTTCTGTAACAACTGAAATTCTTCGAGATTTTCGCAAAAGCTTCTAGTAATGTTTTTTTCGCTAGGGTCTAAATAAGAACTTAACTTATCCAAACTACTAGCCATAAATCTGGATGAATCTAAAAATCGAAAATTAACGCTCGTGTTTTCGATATATTTTGTAAACGATATATATTTTTCTTTGTTACGAGGTAGTAATATTACCGAACCGGGAATTTCAGTTGCCAAGTTTTTAATAAAAAAGTGTAGATCGTATCCTAAGTTATGAAATACCACGGGTATCATATGATCGTCCTTGTAATTAAGATTGCAAGAAGAATGAGCAACTCCTCGATATTTTCCCGTGAAATGACAATGATCTTTTACTCTTAAATCATTTTCGGTAAATGGTTTTGAACAAATGTGACATGTGGTTGATGTATAAAATGATTCTTTTTTATGTTCAGTCAAAGGTGTCATTGAAACAGCATTGTTAAATATAGGATTTAATTGTAGGGCCAGTTCTTGTAATTGTCGACAAAACCAGCTCATACAATCTTTACCCGTATACAAGTTAAATTTGGAAAGATTATTATCGTAACTGCACAACAGATAATAAGAAATACTACAAGGAATATGTTTTTGATATTTTTTAATGTTTCCCGTCGCAGCGGAATCTTCGTATTTTTGTAAAATACACTCGATATCCGCGTAAATAACAAACGGTACTTTTTCTTTATTTTTAAAATGCGAAAATGTTACGTGTTTCTCTTGTTCAGTTGGGAGCGTAATTTTGGTTTTATTTAATTTTCTGCAACTAAATATGTGTTTATTAAAAGTTTGTTGTGAATAAAAATGATTTAAGCACCTATCGCAATAAAATCTGCTATGAGTCGAATCTCCGCTTTGTTTCGATAATAACCGTGATAAACTTCTAATTAATGCGAAATGAAAAACTGTCTCAAAATTGTTAATGTGATTAGAGAGATTATTGTTGTCGACGTCGTCGTCGTCGTCGTCGTCGTCGTAATCATTGGTTATATCGGTGGGAAGCATCAATAAATTAACCGTTCTTAAATAAGAGAATTGACTTAAACACGCCGGTACAATTTCTCGCTTTTCTAATGAGAAAACGTTTATGGAAATATTATTCATTTCTTCAAACTTTTTTATGTCTTTTAATTTGATTGGAAATTCAATGCCATCGTATTTTAAAACTTCACTGAAATGAGGATATGAATAGGTAATACGCGGATTTTGATTTGTACGACAAGGATGTAGCGCGGCAACGATAGACCAAAGAAAACAATATTCATCGTTATTTTGAATATTAAGAACAGCTTTTTTATTAATAATAAATTTTGGCATCGATACATAAGTTGAAAGACCGATATTTATCGGTGTATAATTATTAATGTTAACTTTTAATTGTAGAATCCGGTGAAGAGCCCAACCAGAATCCCTCTCTTGAAAATCCTCTAATTTTGTTAATATATTATTTTTAATATAATTACTATAAAATTCTTTCAAATCGGTATTATGATCGATGACGCGATTTTTGGTGGAAAAATGTTTTACATCGGTTTCGCCTGTTTGTGGTTTTACAAAATCTGCAAGAAATATTACGTTAACTTTAATTAGGGACTCCCGAAGGGCTTTTTTTATTTGACAAGAGAATGATCTAAACGCCTTGCTAAAAAATATTATAGGATCTTTAATATCTAAATTAACTATTGCTCCCGTTTTAATACGATTTTTAAAGCAAGACTCGTTATCAACCCAAATTAATTTTGCATTATTTTTTTTAACTGTTTTATGATGTTTGAATTGTTCTTTAAAATTTTTTAAAAGACTTAAATTTGATTCTATTTTTGCCACCGCTTTTCTGTCTGTCGACGATGACGATACACTTTTTAAATATTTTTTCAAAATTAAATTGCTTCTGTTCAGAAATTTTATCCACTTGCAATATTCATGTTTTGTTTTAATTAACTCACCAACTTCTTTAATTTTCAGCAGCGTTTTTTCACTCAACTCACTGATTTCAGACATTTTTACTTATACGCAGCAGACTTTTTTGTCTATTCTAATAGACGCGTATGTGATAAATAATATCACTTTGTAGAATTTTACCGCTTTTATCGGATAGCGGGGTTAGGGTCAAAACTATTATGTTTTGCGCAATTGATAAATATAACGTAATCGCTTTTAATATTATGAATGCACTGTGTTATTATCGTGCTGACGAAGTGGAAATTTTAGGATAGATAATAATTAAAAAAAATAAATGCATATAAATATATCGAACTCTACGACAAGGAATCATTGTACACAACGACTATGGACACTCCGTCAACATTAATTTTTGAGTCAACGGATCCCGCCAGACTTTCCAACAAGATGCTGGCGGTATTTTTAAAAAATTTATTCAGGTAAGTCTGTCACCTTCATTGTTTTGTTTTCCATAATTTACTAAAAATCTATCAAATTATCATAGGTATGGGAGGAAAGAAGTGAAGATTGTGAACAAGAGAGTTCACTTGTATTTGAAATATTCACCGAAGAATGAAACGGTTCAGGGAAAATTAAAAAATCTTCCCGTCCGATACCTGAGAGTGGCGGCCGATGACGAGGAAGAATTACAATTGTTATTGAAGGGGATGCGTGAATTCTCGGACGTCAATTTTTATGCGGCTGCCATAGAGGAGGACGAACCGGTACCGGCTAAAAAATTCAAGCCGGCTTCGGAAGAAGAGAAAATAAAAATTCTGGAAAACAGAATTTTAAAATCAGCCACCACTACGACGATGACGACGACTACCACCACTCCCAGTACCAGCAAAGTTGAAGATTTTTGCTTCGTTTTAGACGACGACGCGGAAGAGTTTGAAAGTCAAAAATTTAGTGTAGTTAGTAAATAAAAATATTAAAAAATATTCGAGTTATAACTTGTTTAATTTTTTCCATCACATGATAAAAATAATATTAATTGTTCTTATGGTTAAAGTTAATAAAACAACAAGTTTACTACGTTCTCTTCATAATCTGAATCAATTTCATCTATAATTGATTGTTTCATTTCACTCGGTGAATCGTAATTACTAATAGGAGTCGAATTAAATGATAACTGTCTAGGCAATATTTTTCGTTTCTTTTGAATTACTGATAGCGGTAAAGTTTGTTCTTCTGCTGCGGCGGCGGCGGCGGCGGGCTCCTCCACTTTTACGGGAGGATGATACTTTGGAGTAGTTTGTGTTACATCACTTACTAGAGTCGTCTTCGTCGTCGTGGTTGCTGGCGTTGTTGTTCTTGTTGAATTTTGCAAAGAAGACTCGATATTTTTCAATCGTTTTGTAATAGGCTTAAACATTGTCTCTTGCATCATTTCACCACGTTTTAATTCTTCAAGTTTTTTTCTTATATCCTTACGTTTAGAAATTAATCGTTTTTTCAAAACTTTATCATTTTGTTGACTGATCATAGCGCTCGATATCACCGTCTATAGCAAGTTACGTTCTGAATGTAGAACCACTAGTGAATAACCTTTATAGGAACAGCTCTCTCTGATCAGGCGTAAACAACTTTTGATCGGGGACCTAAACAGCTCCTGAACAGGTCTAAAACAGCTCTTGATCAGGTCTAAACAGCTTCTGAACAGGTCTGAACAGCTCCTGAACAGGTCGAAACAGCTTCCGCCGCCGCCGCCGCGATTGGACGATTAGAAATGTATGAAGCAATCAAATGTTTTCCTATATCGACCTCCTTGATTAATATCGCAGTCTTTAAATACAGATAGGAAACTAAACGCTTCGTTCCAGCATAAAGCACACATTTCTTTAAAACGTTCAAAAGTCATATCGGTACCGATATGATCGTTGTATATGTGTTTCAAATTTAAATCGTCTTGTTGGAAAATTACGAGACAATTAGCATTGTCGAATCAATTTTATTATGTCGTCCCATACTAAAGTATTCGCGTATGACATCTTGGTTGTCGCACGCTACATCGTCGAAAATGAAAATACTGTTCGGTTTAGCCTCCGACGGATGCATAATGCTTTCACCGGCGTTAAATGTAAAATATCGAATACCTTTTATTGATTTCAGCAGTTGATCCAGGTAAATATATTTTGGTTGGTTCAAAGATCGCGAATAAATGTATACGTTTTCAAATTTTACACCGTTCTCCTGTTCGATTAAATTAATCATCACGTTAGTTTTACCGCAATTCGAAGGACCCACGATAATACATCTTATTGTTGCGGGAAACAATTTACCATGCCTCTTGTAAGATTTTTCGTGAAACGTATTATTTTCAATATCTAATGTAGTACTTTGTTTAATAAGTTTCATAATGTGATTGTTTTCTAAAACACCGTACTATTCATAATGATATAAAATAGATGACTTACAAACTTTTTATATTAGTTTGTACTAACAAAACGAACACACACGATCGTCAGCATGAAATGTTACGCATCAGGTAACGGTTTATTAAATACGGTAATCAACAAATTGCCTTTTGAAATGCATATTCCGGGGTATAATTGGTGCGGCCCCGGTACAAAAGTTGAAAAACGTCTCGCTAAAAACGATTCCGGCATAAACGGTTTGGACAATGCATGCAAACAACACGATATCGCCTATTCAACGGAAAGTGATTTAAACAAACGTCACGAGGCAGATAAAGTATTAGCTTCCAAGGCTTTAGCGAGATTTAAAGCTAAAAATTCCGGGTGGAAGGAGAAAATTGCCGTTTTAGGAGTAACGGCGGCAATGAAAACAAAATTAAAACTCGGAATGGGCATTCCAAATACAGACCGCGGCGGTGGTGGTTACTATTACCGTTCCAGGAGATTAATTCAAACTTGTTTAAAAAAACTACAAAAAACTAAAAAAAGTTTATACGAAATTGAGGATTCTTTAGCCAAGATGATAAATCAGAAAGAGAAAAAGAATATTTGCAGCCAAAAGAAGAAAAAGAAGACACAGCAGCGAAAAGAAAACAACAAATCGAAACCACAGACATATGAAGATAAGAAAGATTTTGATATCGCAGACGATTATCCATTAGATAGAGTTCGACCTAAAAGCATTCTAAATGATGATGAAGATAATGAAATTTCAAAAAAGAAACCTCGTATCGTATTAGTTCATAATCGGAAAAGAAAAGCTGCCACGATTGATAGAAATGAAATAAAAAGGACAAAAAGATTAAACGTAGAAGATAATGAGAAAAACATAGAAATGGATGATTCTATCAAAAATATCGAATATTGATAATAGATAATGAAAATTAAAAGTAAGTATACACACCACCTAAAACTTCAAATTATAAATAGTGAATAAAGATGGAAAACACTTTCAGTACTAATTAGAAGTTGTAATCGGTACAATGGTCAGAAGAAAAAACACTAATCCAAGAAAACGTAAAACAAGTGCGATACAACGACGACGGCGACGAGAGAAAAAAATTGGCTTTACAAATGCTACTAAACGAATTAAAAAACACGTTATTAAACAAAAACCTAGTACTTATGGTGATGCAATTCGTGTCGCATTAAAGGCGGCTCAGAGTTTAAAAAATAAAATCAAACCTAATCGTATCGTACCGATACCAAAAACGGGTGGTGTTTTACCGCTCATTCCGATATTTGCTGGACTTTCGGCGCTCGGTGCTCTTTCCGGTGGAGCTGCGGGTATCGCGAAAGCTGTAAACGATGCGAAATCGGCAACGAAACAATTGCAAGAATCGCAACGCCACAACAAAACCATGGAAGCGATCGCAATGGGTAAAGGCATATACTTAAAACCGTATAAAACAGGAATGGGACTTTTTCTTAAGCCATATAATCGTTAACAAATAAATAGTAAACTTAGTACCGGCGTCGCAATTGCAGTACAAATTAATAAAATGAATAAGAAGCAAATACCTAACGATTATCCGTTAACGAATATTCAGTTGGAAAAGTATGCTAAAAAGTTGTTGAAAATACCTTGGTTTAGGGGTGTTTTTATGAGAGATAATCTGCCCAGAAAAATAAGAAAAAATGAACGAGGTATAATCAACTTGGACAGTAGAAGCGGAACCGGAACCCACTGGACATGTTACAAAAAACAGGGACCTAATATCATGTATTGTGACAGTTATGGAAATCTACCTCCGCCACTGGAAGCATTGACATATTTCAATTCGAATGGACCGTGCAATATACGATACAATTACGATGTTTATCAAAAATTTAATACCGTGAATTGTGGTCAGCTATGTTTACATTTTCTTTCCGAATAAATTATTTATTATTAGCAAACTGTTATTCATTAATCCGATAACCTTTGTACAGATCGGTCGGTATGTATACGTTTACATTATCTGGTAAAGACTCGATACTTTCGACTAAAATATATCCTCCCATAGTTTTGGACGATTCAAAAAGTTATGCGATCGGATTGATCGACTTTGTTACTTTCAACACAATTCCCAATGTAGACAATTCCAACAATAAATTTTATATCGGAAGTCAAGTTATTGCCGTACCCGAAGGTAGTTATGAAATTAACGACATTGAAAAGTTTATAATGGAGAAGATTACGGAGAAAAACGAAACATTGAAAAAAGAAAAACAAAATAAACAACAAAAAACAAATGTGATTGAAAAGGAATTGTCGATGAATGACGAAATCGTTTTATTTATGAGGGCCAATCTTAATACACTAAAATACGAAATCAAATCCAACGAGATGATACATTTTGAAAAAGGCGATTCGATTGCAAAATTGTTGGGATTCAAAAATAGAAAACTGTCTGCCAATCAATTACACATATCCGAATTTCCGATAAATATTTCGAAAGTAAATTCTGTTTGTGTAGAATGTAATTTGATAAAGAATTCTTATAATAATAATAACTCAGTACATATACTACACATGTTTTATCCTAGTGTGCCGAGCGGATTTCGTATAATCGAAAAAGTGTCAAATGTTATATATTTACCTATAAATTCTAATTACATTGACGAAATTATCCTTAAAATAGTGGATCAAGACGGTAATTTGATTAATTTTCAAAGAGAAACGATAACAGTAAGAATACATTTAAAGGAAGTGGTGTCATAAAAAATGGTGCTCCTCTATAACCTCAACATTCCAAATGGCGTTTTCACGTCGTCGAATATAAATGAAAATACGGATCTACATAGAGTTAATCATAGTCGATCGTTGAAACCGTTAACAGTCGAAAATTCCGAATTTCTTCGCTATCTGGGATTAACATTGAAGGGAAAAAACAAAAAGAAAAACGGCGTGTAAATTCCTCCTAAATATAACATTAACAATCCGTTCGGGTATACGAAGACTTATTGTCTTTTGCAAGTGTTTTGGAAGTTACTACAATCAGAAGAAGAAGAAGAAGAAGAACAAAGAAGATGAGTTTTAATATTCTGAACGTAGGTGAACAAGCATTTATGGACAATTCTATTATTAATTACGAGTTACATAGCTACACTCCATACGCAAATACGACATTAAATAATTCGGATGAAATACGGATTCCTATACAGGCTCAAGACGTTTACACTTTACCGACCAATAGTTACATGTATTTCGAAGGACGAATTGTCGACAGCGAAAAAAAAGTAAGCACGACTCTTAAACCGATCAATAATTTTATAGCGTTTCTTTTCGATGAAATTCGTTATGAAATTGGAGGGATCGTTATAGACAGGGTTAGAAATCCTGGAATTACAACTACTCTCAAAGGATTGGCATCTTTCACAAAAAATGAATGTGATCGATACGAACATGCCGGTTGGAATCACTTGCAAAATCCCGAAATAACAAACAAAGATGGATATTTCAATGTAAACGTTCCTCTTAAAAATTTAATGGGATTTTTTGAAGATTTCAAAAAAATTCTAATCAATATGAGACAAGAATTGGTTTTAATTCGAAGCTCCAACGATAATAA